AAAATGTTGCTCCAGTGTGTAAAGATGGAGGCCAATTATTACCCCCCCTACCCAATTCACAATAAGGGGGAAGCGTGGGCAGCAAGAATGCTTTCTCAGGATTGCTTTCACTGTAGTGCTGTCACACATTTCCCTGAAGGAAGAGTTGAGCTTTACTGTCCAGTCTAAGTCTGTATTATTAAAGCCTGTATTTCACAGAGAAAAGAGTGCATTGCACAAAAGCTTAACTTGATACACTTACACTGTCACCAAGAGCGTCAATTTAAAACCCAGAAGAAACACTGTCAGATGACACATAAAAACTCCAGAACAAAATAACTGTGCAAAAATACGCTATTTCCCCAACAGCATAACATTATGCAATCAACGGTACTTTATAGTACAACTGGCCCAATAGTATCCATTGTGGTACAAGACCACAATTGTAATTTAACTTCATCACTTCTTGATTTCCAAATGTTTCAGGAAATAACCTTAACTTTTCTTATAGTGAATCTTTTTGACGGGCATAGTGACAGTTTGAAGAAAGAACCTCTGACGTATGTCAAGAAAGGCCAAGCCCAAAATATAAAACCTTCAGAACGTGTTAGCTACATGGCAGGATCAAACTTCTTCTGTTTATTAACCCTGGTTATATAATTCCCCATGTGAATAATCATTAGCCTTTTCCAGTTCCCAATAACAAAGTATCTTGGAAATAAACTATAGCTATAAAAGGTAGTTATTGAATTTTTTATCGGCTTACTACAAAATGCAGAGTGAAACAAGTATCATGTTATATGCCTTATTAATGGAAATATAAATCCTTATATTCATAGAGTCAGTAGGATTTTCTGCAAGCTTTATCTCCATGGCAATGACAGAGCAGTGCAACACAGTGAAGCTGTATTCAGGGGATGAAGACAATGGGAGTAAGATTAAAAAAAAATGACCCCTGGCATGAAGCTTTTAGAAATAGGCAATTATTTGGTTTTACTAGGTGAGATAAAATTTTATTTTGGCTTTGATAGCAATTCAAATACAAATGTTTCCCAGATACTGTTTCCCCTTTTTCAGTTATACCAGCTCATTTAGCATAAAACTAACGTACTTAACATACATTTTAGCATACAACTCCAGTACTTAAGCAGTGGCTACAAAGACAGAGGCTCTCTCTTCACAAGGAGCCACATCAAGAAGACAAGGGGCAACAAGTACAAGTCGCACCAGGAGAGATTTCATCTCAACATAAGAAAAAAATTTTTCATGGTGAGAACAACTAACCTCTGGGACCTCCCAAGGGACATGGTAGAGTCCCTGTCAGTGGGGGTTTTCAAGAGGTGACTAAACAGGGTGCTAGAAAATCTCTTCTAGGCTCCCTTTCCCATGAAAGGTTGGACCAGATGGCCTTTTGAGATCCCTTCCAACCCAGGCAACTCTATAATTCTTTGAAAATGGAATAAATGCTACAGTAGCTCTGCCTGTGATGAGTAGCTCATGATGCATTGATGTCTGGACTTCAATCCATTCCCAATTATAGTTAATTCAAAATGTTCTGCAACACAGCTAAAGAAAACTTGCTGTTTAATAGTTCCAGTGTTGCTTACTGCTAGAGGTAAAATTATTGATCGGAGTAGAGGCAAAGCGATCTCTTTAAAATATAATCGAACAGAAGACAAACGGAGCTTTCATTCACCAGTTATTTCCCAATCTAAAATAAATTCCACTTGCAAAATTGGTTTTTGCTGCTTTACACTACATTTTAAAGTGGGAGTATATCTTAATAGATTTTTGTGTACTTTAATGTGATAATGACTGCAAGCATTACATCACTCAGGATCATTTTAAAAACACACTAGGTCTTTCTGAAACTGAACTGGATTAACCAGATTTGTCTGGCCAGACACAGGTTAAATTCAGGTTAAACAGTAATTTATAATCACACAATGACTAAATGTAGTTGCAAATCACATTATTAATTTACAGAAATCTGAAGTAATTAAACTCACTGTTCCCTATTAAAAGTTCCAAATAGCTAATCTCATATTAAGGAATTAACCAGCGGCTGTACCAATGTCATGATCACCAGCAGGAAGAAATTCAGAGTCTCATATTCCAAAACAAAGCTTTTAGTTGAAACCTGGAGATTTTTAAAATTTATTTGCCACTAGTATTAGAAGGGATAATAACCTCACTAAAACATAAATTACTATCTAAGATTGTATACAGACATTAGCCAGGAAATGACAAGGCAGCTTTAATTAAAAAATTCTCCCCGCTTACAGGGAAAAAAAAAAAATCCATCTACTAGGGAGCATTTGGAGCAATATGTTATTGCAGTTCAGATACGGAGACAAGCCAGAATAGTTAGCAGCCGGGGCAGTACAACAGGCTTCAGATATGTATTCACTATTAACACAAAGGGAAAAGGCAACCAATTGCTGAAAAAGTTGGCTCTTTACCCCACTACAATAGGAGTATTTGAAGTTTAGATTTCCATTTAGATGATCAAAAAAGTCCAAACAAACATTTTAAACGTCTGCTGCTAATTGCTGTCTATAAAAGACCAAATGCAAAAACATAACAATAAAGTACCTTATGGTTACTGGTGTAAAGAGCAGCATAGTGGTAACGTTGTCCAAAAATGCTGAAAGAATTGCAGCAATGAGGCACAGAAGTGTAATCATGGCCCACACCTTGCCTCTAGAGAATCGATAAGCCTAATAAAACCAAACAAATAGAAACAAAATTAAGGGCTAGATCACTCCAGCTTAGTTTTCAAAAAATGATACATAAAATAACTTCACCAAAGACAAGGAAACAGTCAGCTCAGGGCATTTACTACTCCATGCAACTCCAACAGCACCCTCTCCAATATTAAATAATTCAGCAAGAAAACATTTTGTGGAAGTGGGCAAACATATCCATCATGCAGAGGAAGAAACAAGTCTGAAGAGACACCACGCTCAGCTGCCAGGCATGAAGGGTGTCTGTGGCAGGAGCAGGGCTGCACCCCCATCTTCTGCCTACATGCCTGGGTGGACTAACCTGCCTCAGGCCTCCCAACCCCTCCACACACTGGGACACCCTCCCCGTCCTCAGAGCAGCACTGCCACATCTACATAGGCAGCTGTTGTGTCCACCCACATTTTCTTTAGCAGTTCTGTGCTCAAAGCCGTCCTCCTTGTCACTTGTTTTCTTTCTTTCCACCCTTCTCAATGAAATTAAGCTTTGCAGCAGATGAAGGTGAAGGGTAATACTTGTTTTACAACCAATACATCAGAATTACCCTTTTCATGTAATCTTTGGTTCTACTACTGTGCAAAGGTCTGTGGCCGTTTTTCATGTGTGTTCATAAAGCTGACGATAGTTCCCATATTTCCTCTCTCCCACTGCCAGGCATAAATACAGATTTCAGTTACAGCAGAACGGCAGTCCTGGGAAAGTCAGTGGAATAACTCATCTTTATACTGTCCATATGCTTGTGTACCCTGCTGGGGGCCTTTACCTTGCTCCTGTAGAAACAGAATTGCCCTCAGGGCTTCCTTTCATCCCTAAGAGAGTTTTCAAAATTACAAGTTGACCACTGTCATTTCTAGTGTGATAAATACACAGTGCCCTAAGAAAGGTTCTTCAGAGATAGTGCTTGGTGTAACGGAGCTGATTAAATACTAACTTGATTAAGCCACTAATAATTGACAGTACCAAAACAAGCCTACCTTTACTGCACAGTAGTCAAAGAATCCAGTCTCTGAAAATATGGCCACCAAAACCATCTACCAAAAGATGAAGAAAAAGAGAATAGCTTGCAACTGAATTATTATACAAAAGAAAAGCAATGTGGTTTGTGAGCCTGACAAAAGTCCGTCTTATTCTGACACAGCTGAGATTCTGATCACCTTCATATTAGGATATCCACTACAGCTGCCAGATTATCTCGTTAATGCATCATACGGTGAACTTTATTTCTCAACATAAACAGTCTGTAAATGCCATACTGTTCTGGTTGAATTTTATTCATAGTGACTAAGTGGGCATCATACATTAAGTACTCGGTGTATCTCCTCTATGTCATTAATCAAGAAAAGCCAATAAGTGCGCTTGCTTTCTGTAGGAATGCTCTACAGACTGTGGAAGATCGCAGCTCCAAGAATTACTTGCGTTTTTCCCACATTTCTGGTAGGTTTCCTGCCCTTCCAGCTTTGCTCCCAACAGATATTTTTTGCTTTCTTTTTCTATGGTGAAGGTGGGAAGCAGAGAGCCGTGTCAGGAAATAAAAAAAGCCCAGAATGGCAACAGATAATTGCAATTTTGTCTCTGTATGTTGTATATTTTGTGTTAAAATTTAATAGCACTTGGACAACTCTATAAATAGCTCTGGACAAAGTGATTAAAATAACATATGATTAATCTAATGAGATATTTCCCCTCCATTTCTGGTTTACTTTTGTTTGGCTCCAAACATAGCACTGACTAAGACAAAGAAAACCACCTTTCCAGCAGACTGTGTTTGAGGAAGTTTTTGAGTAAACAAAATTAACAAGATAGATAAGAATGGTGACACTTAGCACTTAAACAGGTCTTTCCGTTTCTAGACCTCAAGGATGTTTTTATTAAGTTATCAACATGATTTTACAGATTTAAAAAAAAAAAAAAAAAAGGATCAATGTAAAAAGGCTCCTTCAAAGGTCTGATCATCCTCCTTTTTGATAAATCCCTTAAGGCCCAAATTTTCACCATAACATGTCTCAGCAAAGTACAATTAACAAAATGTTTGAAAGAGAAACATCTCTGTATTAAATGTGATTATTTTAGCACACTTAAAGGAAAAGATACATTTTACTTACCATTCCAAACAGCAGCGCCAGTGTCTCATAATCAATCCACTCCACCACTTCGACCATACTTGGCCTCTGCGATCAAAAAATACAATTACCAGCAAACACCACAAAACACCTAACTGGTGATTAGCTATGAAATATAAACTCCACTTAATTGATGAATATTTAAATATTCATTTAAATAAGCCATGGTGGAAATTAATAAGTGTTCCTACACAAAAATGAATCTTCATTATTACCATTATTCCTCTTATTATTACTGTTACAAATTCAAAGTACTGCTGCCATCCTAAATGGATCATTATCCAAAGCCTACATTAGGCTATTAGTTTATCTAGTTGTTCCTTACATAGTATTACAGAAATAAAAGATAACTGAATTATATGGAACACCGCAGTTTCCTTTTTGGTAAGAGAACAAAAGCATACCACTTCACCTGTGAACAAACTGAAGGGAATTTAAGAGAACATAGAAATGATGTGGTGACCAGTTATGAGAAAAACAAAGAAAACCAATCAGAGGTTTCACAAATATCCACTAAGAGTAAGTAAGGGGGAAACAAAAGGATTAGAAGGTGTAAGCATGAGGTATAATTATTTAGGGTAGTAGAAGGCAACATATTTCCACTTAGGTTTGCTTGGTAACTTAACATTACTGAAAATAACAGTGTTAAAGTAACTCTGAATTAAGCTGAAAATGGTTGTACTCAGCTTCCTGCAAATCAGAACAAAATAGCATCAACTTACTTTTTTTCTACTCTTCTTGTCTATATCCTAGCCTGACTTGTTTTCCCCAAGATGCTTCCCCATCCCAGTATCTGCCCTACCATCTCTCTCCCTGAAAACACTGCTCTGTCATGTGCTCAGTCACAACAGGACAAACACGGAAATTTATTATTTTGTACCCAGAAACAAAGCGAGCACTTACAGTTTGATAACTTACCTCCCCAACAGTAGCTAAAGCAGCTAAAGCTGCCAAAGAGCCCAGCATCGCTGCAAGAGTCCTGTGAACAATCTGCAACAAAGGGTAAGAATTGACAAGAGACTCCTCTAAACATCTCTTCACTATTAAAAAGGAGAGAAAAGGCTAAAAATTCCTGTAGTTAATTCTTTTCTTGGTTTGTTTGAGGGTTTTTTTCCTTATTCCACCTTCCCTCAAAAAAGACCTGACCAGAGAATAGCTGATTACTTTGCCTCACTATAGGATGTTATTGGAAGAAAAGAAAAAAAAAAAAAAAAGCCTGTGCAAAACCCTTCTAGGAAGTCTCAGCTCTGATCTCAAAGCAGAGAAGGGACTTCAGCACCAGTTTCTTATATTTGCCAATGGGTGACGAGGAGGAAAGCAATGCATCTTCCCTAGCTTAAGGATCAAAGAGCCTAGTCTTTTTGGGTCCCATTCACAGCCCATGGGAGGGAGATAAGTGCCCAGGAGGTGATCCACCTCATTCTTTATAGATGCTTGTTCATCTCCAATGTCCACAAAGCAATTCCCAAGCAAATAGTTCAAACCTGGGGCAGATGCATCCTACACATACACAGACATACCACACTTTGAGTTTCTAGGTCCAGTTTGTAGTCTGGGGCACAGATAGATGTGTCAAGCCTGTGTACCTGCTTTCTCTCTCTCACACACAGTTTTCTTCCTTTCATAAAGTGGTTTTTTTTTTTACATCAGCATTTTCTCTACAAAGTGTTTTGGCTTCAGGAAAGCCATATTCTTCAGCTAAGATCTGCTGGACACCTTTGCTGCAGTCTCCTCAGTTCTTTAAAGGTGCTTTCACTAGCGTATTGACTAACCCAGCCTTGAAAGGTGCATCTCCTCCATCTCTAATGTTCCTCTAGCACACAAGCAATGTATCTGAAAATAGCATCTAAACCTCTGACCACAACACAGACATTAATTTAATACTGCAACAATTACTACAGTATATGGACATTTGTCCATGTCTATGTAGCCAATTAATAAATTGCACTTAAAATTCTCAAGGAGAAAGTATAAAAGCAAGCATGCCCTGAAAATGTGCTTTTTCCTCCAAGTGCTCATTTGTCGTTATTTAATCCATCATGTCTGGAAGATCACAGATTGTGTAAAATAACTCAGCTAAAGTAAGAATGTGATCAATGGAAATCACGCTACAAAAGACCAAATCTAATTAACAGCATTTACTATTATCATGTTTAAATATTACACAGAAACAAGTCAGAATTATTTCTGACAAAGAAATAAGGCAGTCCAGAAACATTTCATTTGCTGCTAATTTCATAAGAAATATTTTACTGATAAGAAACAACAGGATGTGGACATCTCAAGGCCCTCCTGCCTGCTTGTAAAGAAAAAGACAAAAGGAAAGAGTTGCCTTTGTTTTTTCTCCTTGAACATTTTTAAGAGTAATGGTAAACAGCTAACCAATTTACCAGGTTACTAGAAAAATAAACATACAAATGACTAATTTAGGAGTTAGAAGACAAATCTCTCCCATTCTCCTATGTTTCTCTTGAAAATGCACTGGAGAATAACCTATTCATAGTGATAAAGCAGAAGATCACACCAAGGTTTTCATGTCCTAATGACCTAAAGTACATAGAACAGATTACAGCTCCCACCAGCTCCCAGAGAAATGTGTGTGATAAGTCACTGCTTCATCTTTGATTACCAGTTTCAGAGCATTGACATGAACACACACATATGGCTCTTCCAATTCTGCAAAGGTGGGGAAAAATTGATAACATTCAACAGTTCTTGTGGCTGATGACGGAGTGCAGCAGTTGGGCCTTACAGTCCTCTCCGATAAAAGACACAAAGCAGAGATGTCAGGGAAGGACACCAGCTTTTCACTAGGGAAAAGTAAGTTAGTGGGGTAAGCTGGTGGGGAATCCTCAGCCATATTCAGACTTGAGGCTTTCTCCTCATCTAATCACCACCCATATCAGATAGCTCTTTTGCAGTTCTCAGAGAGATATCATGGGTTTTCTGAGAGTTGATTTGCTTTAGATTTTTTGCATATTTCCACATTAGCATTTTTGCTGTCACCATTGTATGTTTAATTGCATACACTGTGTTGACTGCCTTTTCAGATTCCAAGAGTTTGCTGTCACCTATGGGTGAAATTTGCTTTAGTTTCTGCAGAAAGATGGGAAAAAATGCTGTACTAATGGATTCAGCTGTCAGTTCCTTTGTGCTGGTGATTTTTCAATAAAGTTATACAAAAGTATATACTGAAGAATGAACAAAGACTATTCAGGTGCAAAGTTCTATTAAAAAAAAAACCCACAAAAAAAATCAAAAAACAAAAACCAAAACTTGTCAAATGTGCAGTTCTTCATTCCAGCAAACTATCAAGTGAAAGTCATACAGTAACATAAAGCCTAGAAAGCACACTTCCGTAAATTCTGAGACCTATATATTTAAAAGTTGAGAACTGGGGAGGTTTAGGTCCTTTCCAACCCCATTCTATGATTCTATGATTCGCTAGTAAGCAAAGACAGCTACACTGGAAGAACCCCAATTCATAATGAGTTTCTCTTTCAAACTGGAATTACCTATAAAATCACAGATTGGGCTGGCTGCATGAGCCTGACTGTGTAGAGTTGTTATTTATAAGCTAGGAACAGATGCAGAAAGAAATGATGGGCCAAAAGGTACTTCAGCAGCAAGGACGCCTGAACTCAGACACAAGACTCAAAAGAATGTACCCTCATCAAAGACACTGAAGTAGTCAATACTGTTGTGGATCTTATTACGGTACCTACATCTTCATCTCTATTTCATCTCTCTTTTTCAAAATCCATCTCCCAGCACTGACAAGCTCTTGCCTGGACCACTGTTCAGCTACACAGTACTCATTCGTTTGATAAAAACCATCACTAAAATTCTTTCCACCATGCACGTCTCATAACAGCTCTTCTTCTGTCTCATCTTTCATTTGCTCTTCAACTTGCCTCTTGTCTGCATTTCTGTTTCCACTCTCTTGCACTGAAATACCTCCTCACATACTCCCATCCTCTTTGACCCTTCTCATTCTGTCAGTCACATGCCAAAGTGACCTCTTATTTTCTTCTCACTCTTTTTTCTTCCATCTCACAATTGGATCCCCACATTTCAATGATTCAGCCAGTTTTAGCACCCTCTGTAGAATGCACTTATTATAGAAGTTCCTTGCCTCATTTCCTGGGAAGATTTATTGAAAAAAAAAATAAAAGCAAAAAACAAAAACAAACAAACAAACAAAAAGCTATGGCTATTGAGACAAACAAGACAGAACAGACAAGGAAGATACAAAGCTTTTAGTCTATCACTTTGCATGCTAGAGCTCCCCAGCTCCCAACCCATCTACAAATCTTATAATCTCTTCACAGAAGGGGCATCATCTTTATTTTTGTCTGAAGAATGCCTAGCAGTGCTGACTTAGTGAAACAGCAAAGGATGGTGCTTGCCTTTTACAAGGGGACAGTTATCTCAGTACAAACTGCTGCCGAAAACAATGTAGCCCAGATTTCACTCTTTACAATGCATGACTCAGTTGTAGAGTACACTGATACAGGATATCACTGAGAGCTGAAAAGATTTCAAAAACGAAACGGATATTTACAGAATTTTATATGAGTAATGAAAAGACCCAAAGCTGCAACAATGGAGGCTATAAAAAATAATATCAACAATGTAGGTGTGGTGATAGCAACATCATAGGGTCATGCTGTAGGGTCAGCTAAGAACGGGTAAAGATTAGAAAAAAACCTCTATAGTCATTTTGTTTCATAATTAACTGTGGAAAGTTTGTCTTATAATCGCCTGCAGTCTGATAAACACAATGTGCTGAATGCTGGTTCTGTATGATAGTTTTCACACTCTAATTAAGGAGTTAATTTTAAGGTAAGAAATGAAAGCAACCCAAATCACTTGTGCCACAAGTCTCTGTGCTTGACATTAATTTAAAATATACATTTCCAGAGCCACAATGCAAACTGTTAATAGACAACCTAGACCGGCCCCCGGTTTAAACTTCTTCATCTATCTGCAAGTACTTTGGAAAGTTTGCACAGAGTTCATAAAATTTTTTGGAAGACTACAACAGCATCATTATAAAAATAATCTGAAATTACAAACACTTTATCTTGTACAGCTCTCCAGGAGGTAAAAGGAAATTATTTAGAAGTCAATTGAATGGTGACCTGTATGCTATTTCAGAGCATACATTTCCCAGCTGAAATCCAGGGCATGCATATTTCCACAATGTGCTTCTGAAGATATTTGATAAATGATACATTATATCAATTATTTTATTTCCTCAAGTCCTTCTTTATAAGTGATAAATGGCAGTTGAAAGATGACTGTCAGTGACTTTAATGTAAAGCTTCAAATGCAGCCTCAATTCATTTCTTGTCCACTTTTTTCTCCAGGAAGCCTGTTGCATTAAACTACTTGTTTTACTGAGAAATTGATTTTCATATGATAGAGTGCCAGCATTGCTGCATTTCAACAGGAGGCAGTTATTCCCAAGCCTATGTCCACATACAGGTTTTACACATTTTCCACCTACCTCCAGAGTAGATGAGACCTTCCCTATAAAATCAACAGCCAAATCCCTCCTGGACTTTATGAAGTCTTCTATTTCAATTCTTTATTCTCAGGGGACAGGGAGGGAGAAAAGAGGATAAAATGTGCTTTAGGATAGCTTTTTCTCCTGACTGTATAGTTTTATATCTATTCCTTTTTTATGTTTTAATAAGGGCTTAGTGAGTCAAAAGAAGATATCCTCAGCAGTGAAAGAGGTTTTTCTCAAAGACAAGGAGTTGGATTTTCCTGAAGATAATCTAGAAAGTATTAGTCTGACTGCTTCTGGAAACGTGTTCCTCAGACAGACCCCTTGATGGATATTATCTTATCATTTGCTGTCATGTACTTTATAAGTTATGGTGCTCTGCATTGCCTTGGACTATTCCAACTGTTTTTGCAGGATACAGATGAAACTTCAGTCTTTCATGTTACACATATTTCATCCACTTACAGTTTGGAAA